GTGACTTGATTCTTTTTTTTAAAGTGGTGATATTTATATATTTATTCACCATTTATTCCCCGAAACTTGCTATTTTTTCCCTCTCTCTGAGCCCCCATAGTTACTTGAATGAATAGAAGATAGTATGAAAAAATCGCTGAGAGGCACTAGTTAGGTCAGATACCTTTCCTTGGAAGATAAGAGTGTTGTGAAGATTCGTGAAATTAAGTTTTTGGAGTAAGCAGCAGTTAGTCAATAAGCAGTCAACTGTAATGGTAGAGAAAAGACAAAGGCAAATAACAGTGAACATAGAACTCAGATTTGATGATTCATTAGATGTTAGAACACTATACAATATTCACATGATTATTTTTAAAGCTCTTGTCATTCATTCTCATAGTTAATATGTATAAGTGGTTATATTGAGAATGCTCCTTCTACTAAAATGAACTTGAAGCTAATCAGCTATAGGATATATGCATTTCCATTTGGGTCCTTCCTCTAAGTTTTCCCTCGATATATCTTTTGGTGGCAACCCTTATTGGTATTTTATCTCCCACAGTTCTGTGTGGCTGAGCTTTCACCTAATCCTGGACATTGGCATTAAAAAAATTATCTATTTCTCATACAATCATTTTTCTTTGAACATACTTTCACTTTGAAGATATTTTGATCATACAAAACAGGAGTCTTAGCATATCTTCTAACAACCTTGCTTACTAAGCACATGCCTGTGGTCACCAAGTGAGATCTTTGCCATTCCCTAATGGTACGTCCCGGACTTCTATATATTCCAAATTCCCCCAGCTTTATTACTATGATATTTAAGTTTGACCCAAAATACTTACTTTGTTATACAATTCATCTTTTTTTTTTAACCTGGACTTTTACATAAAAAGTATGTAATAATTGTATTTGGAAATCAATTATAATTCAACCCTATAATCTTCAATTATTATTATAGTGTATTCACTACTGACTCATGTATCTCTGACTCATGGGATTTACACCAAATGGATTCACATAACAAGTACTGTTCCTGACTCTGTCTCTGTTTTCTGTTAGGTCTGCTTTTGTATAATTTGTTGTGTAATTGGAGAAGGATATGTGATTTCTGAGCTCTATCTGATTTCTGAGTTAGATCTGATTTCACAGCAGGATTGAGATGGATTTTTTTCCCTACCAAGCAGTAATTATTTTTTGGCTTTTACCTAATTATACCTTCTTAGGCCATACCCACCCACTTGGTGTTGCTGAAGCTACTCCCTGCAACAGGTGTCAGGAAAAGGGAGGAATAATCTCGCCGCTTCTGATTCATCAGAGAGCTATGAGACGCCCACCCTGCCCTTTTTTTTTAAAAGCTCCTAGACTCTCTAGTCCTGTAGTTAAAGATTTTAATTTTAAATACGTATCCAAAGAAATAAGATTCCAGGGGTGGTTCTTCACCATCAGTCTGGTAGGTTTGGGAATATATGTCAATGTGTTTCTTACATTTTATTCATTTTTTTTAACAGGTTTATTCTGGATATCAAGTAGGAGCACAGTTTTCATTAGGGAATTTTAACTCGGGGGTTCAATTAAAAATCTTGTGATCTTCAAAGTTTTCCCTGTTGTTTTAGAAATAATCCCTAAATAGTTGGGTTCCTTTAGCAGCTGTGTTTCTGGGCTGGTACGGTCACCAGTGTCCGTGTTCCCAAATCTAATTCTTATTCTCCTTTGACACATTTGATAGTTAGTCCCACCCTCTTTTCTTGAAACTTCTTTTCCCGTCACTTCTAGGAGGGTAGGGGTAGGGCTGCTACTCTCTCTTGGATTTCATCATGCTTCACTGGCTGATCTTTCTCCTTTTGGTTTTCTCATCTCTTCTTACCTACAAATCCGAAATCCATTTACCTATAACACCAAAATCTAAATTATTTAATAACTTCTTTGGCATCAAGGCCTTACTTAACCCAAACTCAGTCCATGACAAAACCTGACCTTGAGATAGCATGAGGCTGTCTATAGTCTTCAGCCCACCTTAGAGTGAATATTCATATTTTTCCACAAAAATGCTTCTTCCCAAGATCTCATTGGGAATGTTATGTTATTTTTTCCCCAAATCTGAGATATTCTGAATTCTGTAACACACCTTGGCCCCAAGGAGTTTGAATAATAGAATGTAGACTCATTCACTCAATGTCTTCGTGATCGCTTTAATCGAATCTCATGTTTTCTAAGTTAATCCTTATGTTAGTGACTCCAAAGTGTTTATCTCTAGTCCAGATCTCCCTTCTGAAATCCAAACTTACATACTCAGCTGCCTACTCAACATCTCTGCTTAAATTTCCAGGAGGTATTTCAGAGTCATCACATGTAGATCTCATCCTTCCCTTCCGGTCTCTTCCTCCTGCTGTCTTTGTCATCTTTTTTAAGGAAAAAATCTGTCCTTCAATTGCTTAGACCATGTACTTGAGAATTATCATTTGTGGTCACCAAATGATAATGTTCTTTAACACTCACATCCAAATCTAGCAGCAAATCCTGTTGGCTTCTACCTTCAAAGTGGAATTAGACCACTTTCACCACCACCTCTGCCAACACCCTGATCCACTCTCACTTGACTTATCTCAGTGGTCTCCAACAGTTCTCCCTGCTTCTTATCTTGCCCCAATAGCCTATTTTCAACAGAGTGTCCCTTTTACAACATGGGTCAAATCATGGCACTTCTCTCCTCAGAACTCTTAAAAGCTTCCTCTCACACTCAAAATGTTGGATACAGAGCCCTACAGGATCTAGCCCTCCTGTTACCTCTCTTGCCCACTCTCCTCCTTTTGCTGCCTGACCCCTGATCACTTTGCTCCAACCACTTTGTCCACCTTGCTGTTCCTCCTTCCCTCCGGGGTATACCCATTACCTGTAGGTCTAGGCTAGAATGTTACCTTATTAGTGAGGCCTTTCCAAGCATCCTTCCTAGTCACTGTATTTCCCCCCCACCCCCACCCCCTGCTTCCCTGCTTTATTTTCTACCTCTTTAGCACTTACCACTATCCAACATACTTTACAATTAACTTGTTTATCTCTCTCTGAAACTATAAGCTCTTCTACTCTGTTTTCCTCACGGAAGGTTGTTCTCAGTTCCTAGAGCATTGACTGTGCATGGTAGGTGTTTAGTTACTATTTGTTGGATGAAGATATAGCCTCTTTTTTAACCCAACAGTCATACTGGGCATAAAACTTAAGACACATCTTTGTCTTCATGAACTTTTCATTAAGTGAAAGCCCCTGGGAGACATTTATAAATAAGTAGGGTTCCAGTTCAATTCAGACTGAGATAAATGCTATAAACAAAGGTATGTCCGTGTCATTTTGATGTAAATTGGAGACACAATTAGCCTCTTGGGGAAGTTGGGGCATTTGAACCCATTCTTGAAGAGAGATATTTTTTAGAGTTGAAGAGAGGTGAAGGGGTGTTTAAGGAAGCAGGACCCACGTATGCAATGTTTGCATTACATGTTTGAGGAGCTGAGAGTGGCTGTGTGTTGCTGGACTGGAGGAAAGTGGCTTAGCTCAAACTGCAGAGCCTTCTCATCATATTAAAGAGTTTGAACACCATCCTTTGAGTCATGATGAGCTCCCAAAAGTTTTAAAGTAGAGAAAGGATGTGATCAGAGCTATGCTTTAGACATATTTCTCAGGAAATGCTTAGGTGATGTTTTGAAGGTAGAAGTTTTACACAGATTCAGGCCTGAAGTGACAAGAACCTGAATTAAGACCTTGGTAGAGGCAAGGAGGAAGGAGGAGGGAACAGGTGAGTTATTAAGCAGTATTATTGATGGTACTTGGTGAGCAGTTAGATATGGGATGGGAAGGAGAGAAAATATTTGGGATGATGACTCAGGTTTCTAACTGAGTGGCCCCTGGGTGGGTATAGGTGCTGAGAGGTTCGGGAAGGGAAGTAGCTGTGGAGAGGACGATAAGTTAAGTTTGAGATACTTGTGCTACTAGGTGGAGGAGTCTGTCCATTATTTAAAAACTAGGGGCCCGGTGCACGAAATTCGTGCACTGGGTGTGTGTGGGGGGGTGTCCCTCAGCCCAGCCTGCCCCCTCTCACATACTGGGAGCCCTCAGGCGTTGACCCCCATCACCCTCCAATCGCAGGATTGGCCCCTTGCCCAGGCCTGATGCCTCTGGCCCAGGCATCAGGCCTGGGCAGGGGACGCCCAGACCCCTCCGATTGCTGGCTCTGCCCCTTGCCCAGGCCTGATGCCTCGGCCAGAGGCGTAGACCCCCATCACACTCCGATCGCCTGATCAGCCCCTTGCCCAGGCCTGACGCCTCCGCCAGAGGTGTCAGGCTTGGACAGGGGACCCCCATCTCCCCCCGATCACTGGCTCTGGCCCCCGCCCAGGCCTGAGACCTCTGGCCCAGGAATCATGCCTGGGCAGGGGACCCCCATCTCCCTCTGATCGCTTGCTCCACCCCCCGCCCAAGACTGACACCTCTGACCCAGGCTTCAGGCCTGGGCAAGGGGACCATCATATCCCCCCAATCCCTGGCTCCGCCCCCCACCCAGGCATGATGCCTCTGGCCCAGGCATCAGGCCCAGGAAGGGGACCCCCCAACCCCCCGCCCAGGCCTGATGCCTCGGCCAGAGGAGTTGACCCTCATCACCTTCCGATCACCAATCACCGGATCGGACCCCTGCCCAGGCCTGAG